GGAATCGCTCGCCATAATAAACCTTTTAAATGGCACTATCTTAAAACACTGTGTTTAAAAAAAAGAATTAGGAAAAAGGAAAGTTCATTTCCTGTGCATAAGGGAGAGTACTGTAAATGTGTATCAAATTAATCAGAAAATGCTACATTCACATCAGCCTTCCAATTTTAGATTTAGGAACAGAGTCAAGCTGTACGATAAAATAAGTCTTGTAAAATATTTTAAAATTCAAAATTCATGAACCTAATTGGGAATAAAAAACTTAAAATAAATCTGATGAAATTACAGTTTTCATTTTCTAAACATGTTAATAGTTTTATTCATAGTGATGGGCTCATGAAAAGTGGAGCTGTTGAGTGAAACAAAGCCCCAGGTAGTATAGGTGTCCAAATCTGAAACATTTTTTCTGCCCTTTCTCCACCTAATTAAATCCCCAATGCACAATACTCCCATGATTGCTAACTGCGTCACCTGATTGAACCCCCTTGACAAAAACCTGCTACAGGAAAACTCCACATGTGTTTAAAATTTTAAATCCTTTACACAGAACTGACGTCTTCCCTTTATCATTAACTGATAAAGTGCAGTACTTTGGGCAAAGGTACAACAGTAGGGCCCTACACAGGATTTAAACTAGTCCAGTACAAGCCCACTGCAGCTTTACAAGGAGAAAAGTAGACCGGTCGAACAGTCAAAGCCTTATTCAGGAAAGACCATTAATATACAGCTGGCATTGCTTTTGTATGCCTGACTGCTTCTTGGCTGCGTTTCTTCTCTCACCCTGTCTCATGCTGATCGGAAGGTCAAACTGTTTTTCAGCCCATTTGTGCAGACTGAGCACTGCTCTCCACTGCAGAGTCAGACTCAGGTCTCAGGATAATCAGCTGGTCAGCAGCAACTTTATCACGTGCCAGGGTTTGGGAACCCTGGCAAATCATTTTAACACTGAAGGACTGAAAGCAGCACTTAAAAAAAGGGTTAGAAGAAAATACAGGGACAACTCTCCTTAGCGTGACCAACACAACAAAGTTTAACAGAGACTTTCCCGTTAGTGATGAAACTATACATGGATCATTTCTTGTTCATTTATCAATAAAACTCCTCATTCAAGGGCAAGAAAGTTAAAACGTATTTTAAAAAAAGCGTTATGCCGTGTTTAAAAGTAGTCTTCTATAGCTTATCAGGATTACGAATAAAGGAAATCACACAAATATGCTTCACAAAAGCTTTTATCTCGACACGTAATTGCGACTAAATTACAATAATTGTACCAATTAAACTAATCCTGAATGAACAGTATGTCATCTTAATGTTTCAGTGCTTTGAAGAGTCTTTCTAATTAGCTAAAATTGCTCTTCGGTATTAATTTCAAATGTCATTAGTTAAAAGTTTTAACAGTTTGAGGATCCTTTTCAAAACCCACGTTTGAGCAATTCACTGAGAGCTAATTGTTCTCTCAAGAATGAAAGAAGAAGTGGAGAGCCTAACAGAAGCCATTGTCAGATGAATCTTTCAATATTCATTCTTACTGCAATGAGTGCAACAGAAATATAGGTGATCGTCACAGCTCTAGCAGTTTAAAATAAAGGAAGTCCAAGATCCATCTTTTTGGCCTACTGCTACAAAAGGATAATATTTTAATCATTTATAACATGCAGCAAAACCTTGGAATCCTAAATGTTTTTTACTGCATTCAAGCTATTCAGATAAAAGTAAAAATTAATTATTCTGTGGTATACTATTCCATTCATGATTCCATTGCATAGGCTAAAATGAACAACAATCTTGTGAGGATCCGCAGTTGAATGCAGCATCTCAAAAGAGACTAAAATATCCTGACAAGTCAATCGCAGCCTCTCAGCTCCTATGTTTTGAGCTATAATATCTTTTCATTTCATGTTTTAATTAGTTAGACTTCCCCTTGCTCGATATCTTTAACAGTTCAAATTAATGTAATGCCCCCAGTGCTCTGCTAAGAAACAACATTTAAAGTGGTTTGACCTGGAGGAGTGATTTTCTTTTTAAACAAAGGCAAAATAGGGACAACACTTATCTCTAAACAGCTCATTAAACGAGCCATGTAAGGAAACATCTACTAGAATAGGGAAAACTCATATACAGTATGTTTAACAGAACACTATTTGAATAACTAAATCTATTTTGCATTTTAACTTAATGTATTTTTAAGCAAATATTTGGTTGTACATTTATTTTTGTATGTTTGTCAAGCTGCTCACTTCAAAGCAAGATCGTTTTGCATAGTTTCAAATCACTATATCATTACATAGCACAGTTTACATCTCATTACATCTTGAAGGACTGTGGGTACTTTAGTTGTACAGACTGTGTTACCATAGGCTTGCATACAGATTTTAATGATTTTATTATTAATTTAACCAATGGTAGTATGCATTTACCAATTACTAAGAAATCCTTTTGTCTTCCTATTTTTTTTTAACTGAACAGAAACATCCTTGCGATTATTATTCTTTCAGCATGAAACAGTTTATATCTCAGTTCTATAGGGGAAATCAAGTTTTCTTCTCACTGCAAACACTGCCTATTTACAGAAATAGCCCCAACTCTGCGCATTTAGAGTGAGCAGATACTCATTAGAAGTATTTACATTTTTGAAACACAAACACAAAACCCTATTAATCAAGAGTAAAGGCACATTTGTCGTGACCTGGGCAGTCTTTGGAAGTTTACTCTCACGTAGAGATCAGCTTTTCACTTTAGCACAGCAATCGTAGTTTCACATTAGCATAGCGTTCAGTGTTTTACTTTAGCGTAGCGTTCAGCTTTTCATTACAGCTCAGATATCGGTTTGTTACAGCGACGTGTTCCCTCATAGCTACTAAGACACACTCACTCGAAAATATGTGCCTGCATCTTCCTCAGATCAGAGAGTGACAAACCCCTGCTCAAATCTTGCAACATTAAAGCCCTGCTAATAAGCACTTGTTAGGACAAGGGGGAGATCAAACACACTTAAGTGTGAAGCACAAGCTCCGGATAATTAATCATAGACCTTCCACATTGGAACAGACACAGAAAACTGTTTTGTTTTCCCTGTTATTTGCAGTTCTGGAAATTCAGAATATGTTGTAGTTCACACTCTTTCCACTACCAGCCCTATTCCTTTCATAGAAGCGACGGCTTTAAAAATGTTGTTTAACAGTTAATCGCCACAAAGCCTGATGTTATTAACAGATTATACACATACTGCAGAAGATTAAGTGACTGGGATGGCCTGAATTTTATATAATCTGTGTAACTCTTTGTAAAGCTGAGGAAAAGGCGTCAACTAAATCTGACATAGTAGCCAATATGTTGTTACTTAACTGGATTTTAAAACAATATTACTCCAAGAAATGTGTGATTTGTGAAATATATATACATATACTGTACAAGAAATTTAAGTACTGTACTTTGCACCAAGGTACTACAGCAGTGCCCTACTATACAGTTAATATAGAGCCTTGTGTTTTGAGAGGCTTAGCAATCAAACTCAACTCTTGCTCTCATAAAACTAAGAACCCAAGGCTGAAACAGAACATAAATAAAACTGGAATGATTTCCCCCACCCCCGCACAAACATACAATGTGATTTATCACGCTCTTGCTACTAAATCATCACTGCTGAAACATTTTTCCCCTCGTGATGGGAATCAGGTTTGATAACTGCGAAAAACTGAACAACTCTCCCTGAAATAAAAAAAGAACTTTCTACTACATGAAACACCCTAAGATAACAGAGATCATCCAAAAGACAATGCAATGTGTAAACCTCTAAAATAATTATCCCAAAAGTGAGGATGTTTCTCTTCCAATTGAGAGGTGGCTACAGTATATTCACACGTGTACAGTACAAATACACAATTCTCTCATCTGAGGGCGTTAGAAAACAGAATGCATTGAACCAATTACTTTCAGAATCTGTACTCGGAAGCAAAATATCCCAGGTCAATAAGATATATTTGAAAAGCCTTGAGTGCGTTCTAGGAGAAGGTTAAAGATCAGCAAGCTGGGTAAAACCTGAAACGATGCACTGAGTCATTCTGCTAAAATGGCTTGGTACAGCACGCATTTTCTGAACACTGCAAAAAGTTTCCGAGCTGTGACTAATGACTCTAGTTTAATTGCTATGCAGGTAAGAACACTCACTTGTGGTTTTAATGTTTTTTTACATTTGTATCTCGTCGAAAAAAAAGCCTGACATATAGCTGCCATGTTCTATTTTAAATAACATACTATACAACAGTATGAGCAGAAGCGTGACTTAACTTACTCATCTGAAATTCCTATATCATAGGCTGCACTGCCCCCTGCTGGTCCCAAGATTCATTTACAATTTTTACTTAAAATAATTCAAATAGTGTCTGGGGTTATAATATTGTCATGCTGCATGCAATATTTGTATGATTAAATGCAATAAGGTCAATCATACTGTCAGCAATCTTCCTATGGTAAATTAAAGACTAATCTGAGAAGACTGAGCTATTTAGCTCACAGCACTCTAATGGCCAGTGTGTCTTGATCAATGAGTGCTACTCTGCCACCTGCTGGACAATATCCTGCATTCAAATGAGCTGTTGCCAAACGGGTAAAAAGCAGCAAAAACATTTCATTACATCCAGCACAGGCACAGATCTTTTCTGTCTTTCTGGGTAATAAGATTGTGTAATAAACTGAATATGGCGAGAAAATGAAATAATTATTTATGCTGGCTAAGGGTCAACAATATTAAAAGAAAACCACAGGGTTAGTCTAACACTCACAAGAGAATATAGAATCTGATTATACGTTAGTTTGTTCAGCTTCCCATTTTCCACAACTAACAGGCACCGAGAACCACTCACAACTAGCAGACATTAAACATGAAGATCGAGAAGAAAGTAGGGAAAACAAAAAATAATAAAAGGCCAAAACAATTGTACATCGGCAAAAAAAAGGTTCAATTCATACTGTACGCCATATAAGTGGGGGTTTGGACCTGCCTTTCATAGATTGTCTTCAGTGTGGCTTGGTCTGGGATGCCCTCAGTCTCTTCCAGGAACAAGATGAGCCAAGATGTTCTGTATGGCCACTGCTCTGTCAGGTTTATCCACGAAGCCAGTCTGTCCCAATTAAAGGTGATTTGATTGGCTCGCAACAGTCTTCCTGCAAAACAAGATCTGTTTGTCACACCTGGTCCTCAGCAATCCTGCTGGGCTGTCAAGCTGTTGTTTTAATACTGTTTACTCATATGAACTCCTGATCCATGACGGAAGTATAAATGAAGATGCTCTATTACCCTATGTTAAGGAGTTGGGACATACTTATGTTTTTGCAGTTACCTGTAACTGAAACAATATTCAGCAGCCTCCTCATGGTCTGTGGGCTGATATCACTGAACCAGTCTTCAGTAACGAGCAGTTTAGTAAGATCAAAAGACATCTGGCGAGTTATTGTTCTCTGCATCTGTCTCCGCCGGTAAGTGTCCTACAGGAGGTAAAGACATACAGTACCATGTAGTTGTGACATCAGTTGACTGAACCATTGCTTATTTCTGGACATTCACTGACCTTTCCTGTCAATTTTTTAACAAGCGTGCCTGAGTGAAAAAAAACGATCGAGGCTCCTGAGAGTTCTATTTCCCTTCTAAATTTGATTGATATTGCTTGTAAGGTAGTGTAAAATGATGTTTATAAAAATCGCATTTTAAAATCAAACACGGGGCATACGCAATTCTAGCAGGAAGGGAGAAATGATTTAATCCACAGCCGTGTAGAGCACTGATCATTTCTGTCAAGGGGTTAAGATTCCACCGCAACAAGACAGCAGCATATCCAGTGGCCTGCAAAGGACAGTTAAGCCATTAATGACTTCCATCTTAACAAATAAGCCTGCCAGTGGTTTCAAACAAAAGGACCGCCGTCTACAAGGTCTCAGAAAGACACCGAACACAGACTTCTGCTTCTGTAAAGGTAACACTTTTAACAGTGAGGAGAGAAAAACTGAAAGGGCAGTTTCCGTCTTTTGCTCGATAAAACCTTTTCAGTTGGTCTGGGATGGGGACTACATAGCATCTCATTCATCTCTTCAAGGAATCCAGGGTACCATATTGAAAATGTTTATTTGAATGTGGCTTGAATGTGGAAAGTTTTTTTAGAATCAATCTTAATTGAACTGAAACTGCATTTCAGTAACTACAATCAATGCACATGATGTACAGTAACGTTGTTATCTGTTGCATAACTACCGCCAGAAGTCAGAGTGACAAGAGAAAGGTCTTGTTCAGTGGTTGAGGTTATTTCCCACATATCTTTAGGATAAATAATGCTTCAGTCATTTTTAAACAATTAAGTACTGGCTGATCTCAACATAAGCTCCAACAGTGAATACAGCAGTACAAAAATGTACTTAATGTAGTTCCAGCTGCCAGAACACATTGGAATTGCATTACAAAGTTCCTGTTAAAGGGCCCATTATCCGTAAATCTCGCAATTTTATGCCAAAATCCATTTATGCATACTCTGTACTGGATTCGGAACACTGTACTGTGAGAGCATTGTCTGAACAATTACCCACTCAAGACACTGGGTTCCATTCAGTTCTGCAAAAACAGAACTGCCCTGCCGTTTCTTCAAAGTTTAGAAATCTGAGTGATGAGGGTGCAATCCAGGGAGCGCTCAGTATACAAAGTGTTCAGCACAGACGAATTTTTACAAATTAATAGAAATCTAATGAAGTACAATCAACCAAAATCTCTACTGGTCATTCTCGAGGTCAAAGGAGCTTGACAACATTAAGGCGTGTCCATCGTGTTTTTCATCGTTTCCTTCTTAGTCTACTTACTCTGAGCTGCAAAGATCAAATTTAGAGGTAAAATTGGGATATTGGGTACCAAATATGAGGTGCAAATATTATATAACATGCTGCTAATGAAACTAAAGGAGCATAAGAAGCAAAGCTGTGCATGGATGAGACCCATTCATGCTACTGTCATTTTATAAGTTCATACTATTACATCCAAACTGAGTGCCATGCAATGACAGGGGAGTTTTTTTTATAAACATTTATCTCCATACCTGTTTAGATGCACAAGAAAAGTCAACCAAGCTCCCTGGCTCAATGCAGCTAAGTACACAAAGTAAATCTCTCAAATCAACTGAAAACTTAATTTTTCCCCAATGGAAATACTACATCATCCAACAAGCATCTGCTGGGTCATGCTCTTTTTTTTTCTCCATTCTTGAAAGTACAGATATGCTTTGGATAGATTTACAATCCTACAGTTAAGACACAGAATGAAACAATATAATTACAGTATGCTAATCGGAAAAATATGGTGCTCAGAAAATGCTGTAAACAAGTATTCTTCTTGAAAAACAGCAAATTAAGCAAAAGAAAACAAAGAAAGGCATCCAAAAATTGCAAAATAAACTGGGTACATGTCAACAAACACAAACAGAATTTGTGGGAGAAAGGCAGAATTAGTTCATCTCCTGCAATGCACTCTTGGATTCCAGAATTCTGTCACAAAAGCCTTGCAGCTAGACCCTGTTATTAAGCTTAGAATTGTATCTGCTCTGCTGCAGAAGGAATGATAAACAGCCATTAAGTCAAGGAGATGCACATTATCACCCTCTCCCCTGGCACATTTTGGTCTCACTACCCATGTATGCGCTACTCATATACCAGCCTAAAGCTATCTCCAGTTATCAACCTGTTTCTAATTTTCCTTTTCTCTACACGTTTTCTTGGAAAGAATATCATCAGCTGCATCGTCAAACATATTGCCAAACACAAGAATGCCTTTAACCTGCACCACAGCAGTAACAGTGCAAGAGGAAACTGGCACTGATCTGCTCCTTAGTGTTGACAATGGCACTGCCTCAGACCTAGTCCTTTTGGATGCAACAGCAGTCTTTGATGCCACACTTTAATTGTCCCAGATCACCTGGACTATCTCAGCAGAAGGTCGGCTACATGTGCCAGAATTCATGTGTCAAGAAACCCTACTTTTTCTGGACACCTGCAATCAGTTTTTTTGTAAGACGAAGGTCTAAAAGGAGCCAAGTTTTTTTGTGGTATGCAGAAGCTTTTTGTGATATGCTTTTTTTTATCCTGACAACAGTTCAGCTTCACTGAAACCTAACTCAGGAGCTCAAGAGCAGGTACTGTTTGAGAGGTCTGTAAGCGCCTAGCTCGAGAAAGTTCAATCCGGAATGGATTCAAGTCTTTCATCGCATGCTTTCCCTAAACCTTGACCTTTATTATGATGCCACCATGCCATTTAAAGACAATGAAGTATTTTTATAAACTCAACGCAACGTAATGTGTGGGTGTTTCTTTATTAGCCCTATACAATTTCTTGCATTAGGAATTCGTCTTTTCGCATACCCCAGCTTACTCTCCATGAGGGAGAGAGAAGCTGAGGGTCAGAGCGCAGGATCAGCCATTGTACAGCGCCCCTGGAGCAGTTGGGATTAAGGGCCTTGCTCAGGGGCCCAACGGAGTAGGATTCCTCTGCCGGCCGCGGGATTTGAACCGGCAACCTTCCAGTCACAAGCGCAGATCCTTAGCCACAGAGCCACCACTCCGCCCGCACCTGAAGAAGGCTCCACGGCCGAAACGTTGTGTTTTTTCTTCTTTTTTTCAGCATGGAATAAACCTATTACTTGTTCCTTTGCAGCCTACGCATGCTGTGCAGCAACCCACCTGAACTACTTTTGTTTAACACCTTACATGGCACTGAGTGAGCCTTAGAGAGGAAACTAAAACACTGAAACACTATGTTTATATGCCACAGAAAGCAGAAAAACAAGAACGAGTTTTCAAGATATGTTTGACAGTTCAATGCAGCCTACCCTTCGGTTTAATGCAGTTTTGCTGCCAAGCTTGGTGAGCTCCCCGAGACTATGCTGGGAAAGTTTCCTGTCAGCCTCTTCATGCCAACCTTAAGAGAACAGAAAACACAACAACAAAAAAAGAACAGTTACACTTCGGTTTGCCTGTTAACAAAATGATTGGTGTCATAAATTACATGCATCTAGGCTCAAAATGAATACATTCTGATTATGTTTGGAGAATTGGGAATTATCCCACCAGAACCTAAAAAGCTCTGCAAAATTTTAAAGGGCATTAGAAATGACTAGCGGATTTTCTGCATCTTTGAGCCTGCAGTTACTCCTAGTAATACTTCTGGACAATGTGAAGTGATGTTACTTTACTTCCAGGCATGCTCATGGTACTTTCACACCATTATCATCTCAACATTATATCCAAACACCCAAACTATGCATCCGCTTACACATCTATCATCATATACAGAAGCTTTAGATTAAGTCACACACATCATCATCAAGCAATCTTTTTGGTTTTTTTGGCAACAGTATTGACGGTTAGAAGCAGCACTGGAAGGACTGTTTCCTGCAGTGGAGCTGCATGATATATTGCACTGTTGCTTCATACCAAACACAAAAAAGGAGCACTAACACAGTGTGGCAGACATTAATGGCTACAATAGCACTGTTTTTCACACCCCCATGGACAAGTATTAGGATTTGGCAGGGGAGGGAGACTGACCCCACGCATTCAAATAAGTCCTGCCCGGAGCACAATGCAAGAGCATTCAAATGTAATGAACTCTGAATCCTGCTAGAGGGCGCACCTTCCGAGTTTGCAAGATCCCCATTGGTTGGTGCAGCCGCGCAGAGTTTCCTGGCGTTGCTGAGCCCGCGGCTATTCAGGAAGACAGGCAGGTGGACGATGTTGCGCATGTAGTCATGGCCGTTGATATTCGAGTCGCGCAATACGCTATTGAGGTTCTGGTTGATGGCCTTGATGATAATGTGAGGGTCGCTGGCAAAAATTGCGATAAACGGACCTTTCGAGAACAACACTCTTACCTGGGGGGAAAGGAAATATGGGAAAAGTAATCGGTGTATAATAGTCACACGATTCCTGGGCCCCTCACAAGCTTTTTAACATATACGATCTGAGCAACAAAATATCACTCAAAATTATAGAAATATGTGCTGTACCTATATTATTATATTCTGTAAAAAGGTAAAGGTATAATTTTGACCAAAAAAAAAATCACAAACCATGCTCTCTCTGTGTAAGAAATCTGTTACTATCCCCATCCCAAAAACTGCCAGGCCACGTGGGCTTAGTAACTACAGGCCAGTGGCTCTCCCTGTGAAAAGTCTGGAGAGAACATTGAAGCGACACACTGTAAAGGACACACGGGACCTGACTGAGCCCCCGTTTTGCTTACAGAGAAAAAAGGAGAGTAAAAGATGCAATAGTCACTCTGTTAAACACGGACTGTTGGCACCAACTATGGCCAAGCAAAGTCCATCCATCTGACTTCTAATTGCTTTACCCAATACAGTGTAAAGGAGAAGCTGGAGCCTATCCAGGCAAGCAAGTTGGGGTACACGATGGATGGACACCCAGTCCATCACAGGGCACACACACTCACACCAGGGCCAATTTTGCTGGAAGCCAGTTAACCTGCCAATATGCCTTTCGACTGCGAGAGGAAGGCAAAGCACCTGGAGGTAACCCACATGGACACTGGGAGAACATACTAACCCCTTGCAGATAACAACCCAAGAACTGAACCCAGGGCTCCCGCACTGTGAGGCAGCAATGCTAACCACTGTCGCCTCTGTGCCACGCTCAGGAAAAGTTGTGTGAATTTGATGTATTTTTCTTTTACTTTTAACACACTTCTACCATTCTTACTGGTACATTAACTCTCAAACTAAAAGTTAAATGAAACAGCAACCTTATTAGATGGATGTGAGGGTTTTTAACAAACAGGTATCAACGGGTCTAAGTGTGGAAAAGATGAGCTGATGTATGCTGGCCTTCTGCTGGACTCTGAGCTGTGTCTTGTCCCCTGTACTGTTTGAGCTATGAAAGGATATATAAAAAGGTAGCCATCCTTCAACCCACTGTAATAAGTGGTACGTCTGTGGAGGTTGTTGATGACATGTTTTTGAGACTGGTAACAGATAAATGGGACAAATGTTGTGAGAACCAATAAAGAACCAAAAAGGGCCAACAATGATTTTTTCTCTAATCAAGCTTAGCTGCTTTAAGGTGGACAGAAATATCTTAACACTTTTCTACAAATAATGTATTGGAAGTATCTTAACATTCTGTCTTATCTGGAAGTTTGATAACACCAGGACTGCAAACTGTAATAGGTTTGGGAAAATTGAGGTAGTAAATTTTGGAGGTAAATCAAATTAACCTAAATGCTGTCTACAAACACAGGGTTCTGAAGAAGGCCAGCAGCATTATGGAGTACATAGCACACATCCTCTGCAATTTGACTAAATCAATGTAAAGCCATTACTTTATTTCCTCAAATTCTGCTGTCTGGAACTATTAGTTAGTGATGGTTGTTTTCATTGTATTTTTGTGTCAGGCTCTGCCACAAAACAAATTTCCCCTGGGCATAATGAAGCTTAAATTGAACATGGAAAGGTTTAAAAAAAGACATTTGATACATAAGGATTAACAACCCTGACTGCTGTGTGGCAACTGCAATTTTCATCATTAGGGCTTTCCAAAATCCAAATACATACCAGTAAGTGCCACTATTTAATAAGGAACAAACAGGGCTTTATAAGGTACAAACAGGGCTTTATAAACTGTCAATAGCTCTCTTTAACAGACTAGCTTTTATATTACATTAGCAATAAAGTAATAATTGTTTGCCTATCTTTTAAGTGTTAGTATCATTTGAATAGTTCTTGAATTAAAGTTATGCTGATATTGTAAAATGTTTAGTTTTAATTTAATTTTAATTAATTTAATTAATCTCATAATTTTAAATAAAAATAATTTTATATGCTTACTGAAAACAAAAACTCTTCTCATGACCTCCAATAAAGTCATTCAGGCAGAATATCTAATTAGTGTAAGGAAGGTTACAAATTCAAGGATATCATTTTCCAAAATAATTACATTTGGCTAAAAAGAAATTCTATTACTCCCAATGGAGATGGAATTTTAACTCCTTCCAGTTTTACAGTCCCACCAGAATTCACTTAAGTAGGATATAAGTTTATATCAGCCATCAAAACAAGCAAGAAACAGATCTATTTAAATCTTCTGATAGGCCTTCTGATCTGCCTTCGCTCGGCAGCCACCCGAGAAGTCAAAATCATCATCTCTCTCCCCGATTTTACCAAGCACACTGATATGTTTATTTCCCAGTTAACTTTTTCTAGATCTTTATTTTCTACAATAATATGGCACTGCAGCAGTTGTTGACGAATAAGGTCATTTTTGTACCAGGAATCAAAAAGGAAAAGAGCACACTGAAGCTTTTTGCTGAAAATGCATTTATCCCACAATTGTTATTTCACGAAAAACATCTCTCTGCATTTATTTTTAGTGCTTCTAATTATTCATTCCAAAAGAGTAAAATAAAACATATTACTTTGGATGTTTAATTGCTGTTATTGTTAAATTGTGTTAAATTGTTGGATGTTTGATTCTTTGTTATGCCTTTGCTAATTTGGCAGCCTCCTGACCTGTAACTTGGCAAATATTGCACATTTGGAAGAGCACATGTGTTAAATATTTTCAAAACCTGTTTTGAATAGCCTGTTTTTTAACAAGGCTTTTCTGCCTGGTCTAGAACTGTCTGCCTTTTTAGAACTGTTCCTTAATTAAACTACCATCTGAAAGCAGCCAAACAGTTGGGCAGTAGTGACGATGGAGATGTACAGTACTTACAGTGTCGAGCATCTGTAGGACTTTATCCTGTTCACAGGCATCCAGCCCATCAATGATGACAACCAGTCTTGTCTGATTCTGAGTGAAGCCATCAATTGTCTTTGCCATTTTGGCCATCATCTCCACTTCACATTTTAATACCTTTTTAAACAACAAAACAACACTGGCTGTCAAACTGCAAGTCTGCGGTAACTCAAAGAGCTAACCTGTGAAGATGGACCATCAGTTAACAGGTCACAGGATGTGGATTTCTAAAAACAACAATACAGGCATGCAAGAGGAACAACAGAAATAAAATCAACTGCTTGTAATGCCCCCAGGGGCAGGGTCGTCAAAGGGCGGTAGTTTTCCCAGATAGTACTGCACTGCTTAGACATCCTTGCCCATACCAAGATGGCTGTAGAGAGCTGTCAGCCATGAAATGGAGGCTGCCAGGAAGCAGTAGAGCAGAAAATAGCTGTGTGTTCTTCCCCAGCCCATGTAAGCAGACTGCCGAACATGCAAGGAGAGAGTGGAGAGAGAAAGAATGGCTACCAGGTGGCACTAAACTCTGTATAAGACTGCAACCAGGAGAAACCATGCTCTGTGTGAGTTACTACCACTGATGTATGATACTTCAAGGTCCACAATAATTATTTGTTATTGTAAGCATCTTAGCTGCCGGACCTGGTAGGACTGAAAATACAATTAGCAAAGAGTTCAAAAAAGAGGTAGGCTTTAATTTAGTTATTTTGCTTTGATGGAAGTTGGTGTATTTCCCCATGGATGTAAATAAAGAATGTAAAAACAGTTTGCAATAGGGTGCTGGCCAGGAACCTGCCTATTTCAAGAGTCCTTTTGTGGCCCACCCCTTGTTGCATCACACATTTAAGCTAAGGAACCCTAAAAAGCCTCCAAAAATCAAAACTTGACAGAAGCCTCTAGCATATTATTTATTGTATACATATTATGGGCTACAGGTATGCCAGTGGATGTTGGTGTATACTTTAAAGCTTCAATGACCTTCATAAAGCCTTCACTCTTGAGCTTGTGCATCTTGTTGGCAGCGCTATGCAGGCGCTTCCTCTGGGAGTTGAGCACAGAGTCCAGCACTTGCCACCAAGTTCGGCAGTTGAGGACGAGGGCCAGGCTGATGACACAGGCCATGGAGATTAGCACGGCGTTCACCGTCATGTTCTTCACGTCCACTTTGAAAATGGCCAGCAGCGTGAACCCCGCGATCAGGCAGCCCAGGATGAACAGGAAGATGACAAACGAAGGCACACAACACGTCTTCTTCCACTTCTTTTTCCCTGAAAAGATAAAAAGAGGCTTAATTTTCCAATAATGTCTAACAGTGTCTAGCTGCCTAATACGTCTATATCTTCCTTCAGACAAAAAAAAGGTAACAGCCCTAGATTTTATTTGATTAATTTATTGGTTATATAATAAACCTGGCAAAATATAATTAAGAAAAAAAAACATTCAATTTGTCAATTGACTAATTTATGTTAATTGTCATTTACTTGAAAAGCAGCGTAGGTAGTACACTACAATCAGAATTGAAAACAGCTGCCTTGTTTCTAAACCTTTACTCGCAGAGGAAATCACTTAATATTCATCTGACACTGCATTGTCATTAACATCAGAAGCTCACATTTGTTAATGCGAGAAACACATGAGCAAAGTTTCTCTCGCTCTCGTTCCACTTTTTTCTTGGGAAAAAAAATATATAAAAGCACAAAAATTAGAAAACAGTTTTCAAAACGCATTATAAAACAGAAACAGTCCCTCACAGAATCACACTTCTCATTCCTACCCTGTGTGTCTTCTGTTTTGAAGACCCTAAACAACCTGGTTGCTAGAAAGCCAAACTCCCTTTCGCAGGCATCAGAGAGGGTCGCTATCATCTCGGCCATGGATGTCTCCCCACCCACACTGGACAGCCTGCTGTAATCTGTAAACAAAAACCTACGACACAAAACAAGTTAAAGATCAATTTAACATATACAATGAACTACAGATATATTGCCTAAGCTTTGATAAATGAGGCTTAGGTCACTGGCAAACTTAGCTGCTGTCGCCTTTTACCAAATCGATGGCAGTAAAAAGGTAAAGTACCTCTGATGAGGTTTCACCTCATACGTCAGCTATCAATATTAACAAAACAAGGCCTGCAGGGCTCGGCGGAAACGTGTGGCACGCATGAGACCTTCGTCAACAGTAGAACACTACCGCGGTGACAAAAAGCAACCTGTATAATTTTGTATCACAGCAGTGGAGCTTAAAATGAGTTTATAGTGGAGTTTAAATGAGTTTATAGAACCTATAAGAAAGGAGAGGAGAGGAGAGGAAGCCATTTGATCCATCTCACCAGCTGGGTAGTTAGTAGCTAATTGATCCAAAGATATACTCCAGCCATTTTCTGAAGAAGGCCAGCTTACTGGCTTCAACAACAATGGCTGGGTGGCTTGTTCCCTACTCCCAGCTTTGTCTTTACAAGGAAGCCCGATTTACAAGAAATTACAAATGCTGAAGAAAAAGAGAAGAAAGACCCACTCTCTGCGGCGGGTGTGGAGTCTTACCTGACTGGCAGCGCCCGGGTCGTCTGCTCAGGCAGCTCCGGGGGGTTCACAAACATCAGCTTGAGAAGCAGCTCCAGGTACCCGATGTGTCTGGCTAACCTGGTGCTGAGAACCCAAGCCCAGTTCCAGCTCTCCCCCTCCCTGCGCCCCCCAAAGTACACCACCACTGCAAAAGAAACGCAGCAAAGACACGAAGGAGTAGGTCAGTTCTTGCAGGTACGGTAACCAAGTTGGAATCCACAAGAGTCATGAAATTCAGAAACTTGAAAATCAACCACATCAAAAAACAAAATCACCAGGAGTCCTGGCATACACAGCCATGTGTATTTCACTGCTAAAAAAAATCCCTACATTTAAACAAACAAAAAGAGCTTTTGGGTTGCCATCTGGTTGCAAACAAACATGGATCAAGTCACAGCGTCTCTGCCTGTAAAACGTCGCCCTCTTGTGTCTTCATGGAGAATGACATCCTCCTACAGCAGTGCACAAAATGTTCTTGCCGTTTTAAAAAACCTTTTTGAGCTCATATTCCTCTCAATTTTAAAGACCTGAATAATACAATATTCAAATTCTGCTGAATAATTCTAGGTCATTCCTTTAACTTGGGGAAAAAACTCAAATATAGCTCTTTTTTTTTAAAGACTGCGGTGGGAAAAAACATTCATAGAGATTTAGTGATAAACTAAAAGGCATTAGATTACTAATAAGCTTAGTACAAATAAGCCAACTATCTGTACATTGTACTGACACCTGCACAGCACAGAGGAACTGAGGCATCTCTTTTAGGTTCTACACATTCATAATACAAAGCCAAATACACTGATAGCAAAATTATTATATGACCAACCTTATCCTGGCAAACAGCGCTCTTACCGAAAAATATGTACAGGACCGCCAGCAGGCTGAGCCCGACAGCAATGCCCAGTTTGGGGTCAACGGCAAACCCCAGGAGCAGACCCACGGCGCCACACAGCAGCAGAGTGAGGAAAACCACCAGCCAGGAGAACTGGAACAGAGGCTCGATCTGCTGCCCTGCAAACGTCTTCATCTCATCTGCACCCAGCCGAGAAAACAACACGTCAGACAAGCCGCTGGGCCTCCAGTTACTTAGTAAGTACATTGCACATTGCTATTTACTGCAGTAAAACTGATTTCTTCTTTACATAGCTTAATTATTTCATTCAGTGCTTTACATCTCAGGATAACTAGCGTGCAGTCCCCTGCACTGTAAATTTCCCCACTTTCGTCCAACAAATTTCCAGTCCCGTGTAAATATTGAAATCTTAACATTAAGCTCCTCTGCAAAGGGTGTTTTACCAGATGCTCTTCCCTGAGAGACATAATGAATTTGTGCACAGACGTCCTACCTAGATAAGGTTAACCAGACGGAACTAAGTATAACATCCGATTGCAAATGTGAATTATTAGTTTAACAAAAGTGCAATCGCAAATCTTGTTGTACCATCATGACTGGCTGTAACCGCCAAATCCAGTAATATCTGAACTGAGGAATTAATAGGGAACGTGTAAAGCTGCATCTCCCAGATCAGCAGAGTAACAGAGCAAAGCCTTAGAAGATCTGATGAATGACACAGTACACAAAGGGTCGGGTGAGCACAATGCACCAGAACAGACTTTACCTTCCAGCTTCTTGAGTAGGAATGACTTCCCACTACCCCACTGAGCATACAGGCCCACGCAGATAGGCGGCTGCATGGTGGGCTCACTCAGGATGTCCGCCAGCGCGCTGCTGTACAGGTCGTAGCCCAGCATGTCGCCATCTGACTCCGTGGGAGACAGATGCCCTGAGAAGACGCAAAAAACACCAACTTGTTTTCCAGCTCGTGAAAGAGGTACCCGACAATCAGCCTCAGGCTCGTCCTGGGTTCCAATTTCCCAATATCCGTTTTTTCCCCGAGTTTAGATAATACTTTATTAATCCTGTAGGGAAACTGAACCGTTTCCTGACGGTTCAAGTTGTTTTTTCCTGTAAATAGTTGTATGTTATCTGAAATTAACTCAAGTCAAGATTTCCTATAATTAATAACAGCAATGTTGAGCCAACAGAATGACAGTATGAAAGGTGAAATGTAAACATTACTGTGAAAGGCCATACTATCTACTTACGTGCTCCAAAAATCTGAGTTAAGATGCTCTTCTGGTGGCTGCAGTCAATGTTGTAAGGGGTTTCTCCAGCTTTGTTGGGGCGGTACAGTAGACGTCCATCTTTGGGGTTTCTCAGAAGAAGTTCGGCCAGCTTCCTGCTTCTTCCCCGAATTGCAATGTGAAGAGGTGTATCTCCTTTCTGTCAGGAAAAACAGACAATGGATTTCATTTCTTGGCTTTAACAAAGTACCCTGCTATCATGTAAATATCTCTCTATATGACAGTGTGATTTACAAAGTCTAAAAAAGACTAAATTAATGAAGATGCTGATTGTCTTTTATTATCTGTCCTCCTATTATTTGGCTCTGCTAGATTACACCAGGCTAATTCTCTGTATGAACATCACTCAAACCTACAAGTGTGACGACGGCACGATATTGTTCAACTGTGATTATTCTGTGGGTATTAATCTTTCGTTGAATCTCTCCGTTACCGCTGGGTCATTGTTCCACACAGAGAGTGTAATGGCACATCACCACACCTTGTCTACAGCAGACACTTTGGCTCCTTTATCCAGGAGCAGCTCCACAATCTCAATGTTTCTCATCTTCGTGGCCTTGATAAGAGGGGTCTCTCCATCCTGCCAAGAGAAAAAGACAGCTGTTTAGAATATATTTCATTTACTACAGCAGGTTCTGTAATCAGGGTTTTCCAGATGCGCTATGATAAGGTTAATTACTGCCCTTACCTTGGTGCAGGTTTCAGTGTCTGGATTACACTGCAGGATGTCTCTCACCATAGTGGCGTTCCCTTTCTCCACCGCCCAGTACAACGCAGTCTTATTATCCTAGACAACAGGACGAAGGAGGTGCATGATCAAACCACGCTCAAAATGTTCACCTCTTCAGGTGTGTGCATCACAAAAGAAAAACTCTTTCCTAGTATTAAACAAACTCAAAAAGTCCCTTCTTGAGCGGTACCATTTTTACCATCATTTCTTTGAGATAATCTTACAAATCTTCATTATTGCAAAATGATGATAATTTTCAGACGATGCCTGATCTTTGCAAACCCTGCCACTTGCAGCACTTATTTTAGCCAGTAGCTATATCACTCTGCAACAAACAACTGGGCCACCCACTGAAGCTCAGCAGGTGTGAGCCTGGTCAGTTCCTGGATGGGAGACCTCCTGGAAAAGCTAAGGTTGCTGCTGGTAGAGGTGTTAGTGAGGCCAGTAGGGGGTGCTCACCCCACTGCCTGTGTAGGCCCTAATGTATAGTAATGGGGACACTACACTGTAAAAAGATGCCTTCCTTCAAATGAGACCTAAAACCGAGGTCTCTGTGATCATTAAAAATTCCAGGGCATTTCTCGAAAAGAGTAGGGGTGTGACCATGGCCTCTCCCTATCATGGCCTCCTAATAATCCTCATCCGTGAAATGGCTTCTGTTCTCCTCCCCACCCTCAGATAGCTGACGTGTGGGGAGCGTATTGGTGCACTATGGTTGCCGTCGCATCATCTAGGTAGATGGTAAGTACACATTGGTAGTCTTATTATTATATTTTATGGAATATACAATACGATATCATACAGTATTATATAATAATAAAGTAACAGGTGGGGAGCTGCGTCAGCATGCGTAGGCTGCAAAGGAACAAGGAATAGGTTTAATCCATGCTGAAAAAAAGAAGAAAGAGAACACAACGTTTCAGCCGTGGAGCCTTCTTCAGGTGTGAAGAGAGATTACTTGTTCCTAATAATAGAGTATATTATATAATAGTATTATTATTATCATCATCAAATTGCTCAGTGATTTTTTAACACAAATCTCACCTGCCCCCTGATGTCTATGTCAGCGTATTTATGTAGCAGTGCTCTAACAATCTCCACATGGCCACCTCTCACTGCACCAATAAGCACTGTGTCCCCACTCTGAAAGACAAAAACAACACACATGGTCAGCCCAGACTCTTTCCTTCACCCAGGATACTCCAGTCAAACGCACAACATCTACATTTAACAACAATGAGACTTAGATCTAGGCAATGCTCAGTTCCCTTGCAACATTCATAAACCAGTGAGAAAAAAATACAATCTTCACGCAAACTTCTAAGAGTAGGCTTCTACAGCCAATCAACATTTTTTATACGGTGTTAGCTCATATTTATATATTCTTTCAATTCATTGTTTTTTCATATTAGAGATTATTAAAGGCAAGGCACTAAGGACTTCTTCGTCTTGTTCTTCTAACATGAGAGGTGCCCACCCTGTCTGGGATGTTGACGTAGGTCCCTGCGTCCAGAAGGTCTTGGACAATCTCGGTGTGGCCTTCTTTGGCGGCAATCATCAGCGCCGTGTTCCCGTCCTTATCTGTCATGTTGACATTTGGGTTCCTCTTCAGCAGCTCCTTCACCACGTCAGTGTAGCCGCCTTTCACTGCCACGATCAAGGCCGTCATGGAGTTCTGAGAGGACAAGAAGGGGAGCAAGCCAACTTAAAAATGCTCTTGTATACGCTCTTTGAAATGTTTGACGAACAGGTCTGGATTCAACATATTCTTTTTTTTTAAGATATAAATTTCCTACTACAAGCATTCAATCAATCCAAGTAAACAACACTAAAATTGTACAGTTCAACACAACTGAGTGCTAGTTCCACACAAACTTCTAACATCACTTAGCTACAAAGAATAAATAATTTTGGGTAGTTAAATAAAAAGCTGGGATTCATCACCTAGCCTTTAAGGTAACATACTGTTACATTTTCAAGGCTTTTCAATACTCCTAACTTATTCCTTTTTCTATTTTACCTAAGGGTAAACTATTAGATTTCAGAATCTTTTGATTACCCTTTAAAGGAGAAAATTCTTGCTGTATACCAGTATTTATTTTTTCACAATATACAAATATAACCTTAAAACAGTAAACTTCATGTTGGTCAAAAGTTGTATACACCTGGAATAATTCTGGTTAACTACCATTGGTATATTTATGCACAATTACCCTATTATCCCAAAGATATATATATCTTTCTCGCTTATAAAGCTGGAAACGTTCCAGGTGCTTGGGCGTGTACATTATTACAGTATAATTGTCTTGCAAAAACAAAAAGCAAAGAGATGGTAAGCAAAACAAAGCACCATTATGTCACAATTATAGGGAGGTTAGTAACCAGTCAGCCATTTATAGCCTTTGGTGACCGAAAGCATGTCTGTGGTCTGCAGGTTCGACACAAAATAATTCTGACAGCTGCTCCCTCCCTGCTTTAAAACAGCCTAGCAGCTTTGACTGCATGAAAAGTGGTGTTTATAAGTTTGCATGGAAAAAAAAAGAGAACTATCTGACTGAGCGCAGGGGCTTCTATCTTGAAGGAGTGTCTCCAGGTGCATCTAAAGTTCACGACCGTCATTTGGTTAAGCCTGTGCCACACCGTGCTTCTCATCGGAACTTACAGCTCCTTCCTGATCCACATCGGCTCCATTCTCCAGCAAGTGCATCACGCTGTCATAATGGCCTTTCCTGGCTGCCCAGATTAAGGGGGTGGTACCATACTGACAAAAAAAACGAACAAGTTGCATAGTTAATCACATGTACAGAGCAAACCTGAGACTACTTTGAAGACTCCTGAACTAACTTAGTTTTTGAAGCATTTCAGAGGACCCCAACATGAAAGCCTATAATAAAGGGGTTCATTCTGAAGAACCCTGAGAATGGCACCACCTTTTCCTGCACTAGAAAACAGACGTTTTACTTGTGAGGCACAAGTGTTTAAATTCACAACATATAACTTTTTCATCTTTGCCCTACAAAATCAGCGTCATGACAATTAAATAAAAAACTAACCACAACTTTGAGTTGTTTTAAAGTTATAAAGAAACGTTTATGAAGGGTTCTTTTAAAAAAGTGCCAAAATCTTTTACATGCTCTAATCATTAACACAAATTTGTTGTTGGCTACAGGCTATATTATGTATAATATTATAAACAAAACCAGTCAAAACGGATATCCTCTCCTGTTAGGATAACTCTCTAAACACAATCCAAAGCAGGTGCAACGATGCATACTCACTTTGTCTGAGCAGTTGACCTTGGCGCCATACTGAAGCAAGAGATGCACAATCTCTGCATGTCCTCGCCCAGCCGCCCAGATAATGGGATAGACGCTGTATTGCTGAGGTGAAAGGGAATATTAATATATACAGACAACAGAAATCTTAAACCAAGAAATTTCCCCATAAGAAACAACTGCAAATTATCAGAAGGGCCTTCTCGTACCATGAGCAGTTGTAAAACACTGATGTAGCTATGCGTCAAAATAAAAAGGGGTGAAGAATGGAACCGGTTAAGTAAAGGCTATTCTGAAGAAAAGGGTTTTGAGTCTGGATTTGAAGGAGTTTAGAGAAGGTGACTCTCTGATATCCTTGGGGAGAGAGTTCCAGGCTTCGGGTTATAACAGGAGAAGGCCCCGTCACCCATACAATGTAGACGGGCTTCGGGGACAGTAAGGAGAACAGAATTAGAAGAGCGAAGGTTGCGAGGTGGGGAGTAGGGCGATAACAGTTCAGACAGGAACTGAGGTGCCAAGCCATGCAGAGCCTTGTATGTGAGCATGAGGATTTTAAAGTCTACACGGAATTTGACCGGAAGCCAGTGCAAGGACTCCAGGATAGGAGTAATGTGAACATTTGCACTAGACCTGGTCAGGATTCTGGCTGCTGAATGTTGGACATACTGCAGTTTGTTCAGAGTAAATTTAGATACTCCAGCGAGAAGAGCATTACAGTAGTCAATTCGAGAGAACACAAATGTGTTGAATATGTTCCTAGCCGTCCTGGGGAAAAGGGCTACAACGCAGAACGTAAGAGCATACCTGGCCAGTGATGTTGGGGTTGGCCCCTTTGGCAAGCAGCATTCTTGCCACCTCACCGCGGCCTTTGTATGCAGCCCACATGAGGGCAGTCCATCCGCCCTGCAAAAGCACAGACCAGCTATAAACACCAGCGCAAA